AAATGAAGATGCTCTTGTATGTGGAGGCAAGGTCTATTCTTTCCTTGAGAGGCAAGTAGGCAGAAGGACCATTTCCCATTTACGGCAGGACAAGGGGTGGGGTGGGGGTCTCTCGATTTTGAAATGGAAATACATCCTTCCTCTAAACTGAAACAGTTGATTTGCATATTCTTCTCATAGATTTGCATTTCTGATACAGTATGTTAGCAGACTCCTAAGGAGGAGCAATTTCTGTGGAAATAAAAACCACACAAGATTGTGAGGTTCTTTTGATCTCTCTAATCAATACTGATTAGCCAAAGGGAAAGTTTCAGCAAATATTCATTATAAAAGGCAAGATTTTGAAGACCGGAGGCTGCTATTAGCAATCTAGAGTATTAACAGTTACCCAGCCAGGTCATATCTTGGATGTATCCAGTTCATATAAATAACTTAAGGGACAGAGAGACCAGATGCAGGAAGTTCAGCAACTAGAAAGCAAATCTAAGATTACAAAGTACTCAGGCACAGTTCTATCCCAGTCCTAGGAACCATTTTAAAACCAGCCAGTTTGTAAATCATGATGCACCCCTAATAGAAGAATATAGCCCTCCCCTTCCCACCAAAACTGGAAAGACTTTTTGGTTAATTTCAGTGCAGAAAAAAAAGGAGCAGTTGCTACCCATCGGGTGCTGTGGGGAGTCAGGTGAAGGAGGCAACTAGATAGTTGATAGGAAATTAACAATTGTAACAGGGTAAGTCTTGAAAGATTGGGCTAAACAGCAAAAGAGCAGGACAGGCCCAAGCAACATGATAACCTACAAAGTGTATTGTGCAATCTACAGGCATGTGGGGCGAGCCATCAGTAATGCTCTAAGGTTCTTGTTGCTGTTGGATATGCACAAACTGGGGGTTGCTACAGATCTTTTCAGGTTCTGTTCAGATCTTTTTCAATTTCCAGTGTTCACAATTCTCCATTTCTGGGACTTCCACCTGGCAGACCCACACCTACAGAAACTTACATTTTACTCTTCTGGAGGAAGACCTAGCTTGAAGGCTTCATGGCCTAGCTTCCTGCTAAGAAAGGGAAGCTGCCCCTGGGCTAGTTTGCAGTCCTTTTCAACAGAAAGGCAGGCTAGAGCTAGGAATTTAAGCTAGGCCTTTTGCCAGGTGAGTGAAATTTAAGTGGTGGTGGCTGGAGAACAGCTGGGAGGGAGAGCTAGGGCCCGGTGTTTTGCCGGCTCCCCTCCCACCCGTGAGGGCACCAAATGTGAGGGGGGAAAGGGGGGGAAGTGCCTGTTCCTTTCTGTCATTTGTTGGTGACTGCAGCAGTGGCGGTGGCTCCCGGAGGATCCTCTCAAGCGCGGGCTATGAACTGCCTGCCCAGCTACTTGAGTGGCGGCAGTTCCTGCGCCGCCCTCTGTGCCTTGATCAAATCTTCGTGGTGATGGATCAAATCTTCGTGGTGACGCCAAACCCTCAAATTTTAGAACTACATGTTTTAAAATGTGCCCTTCTTTGAGCAGCTCCAGCTAAACTACTAACCATTACATTAGATGGCATTATGGCTCTTGAGAAAACCAGACCTCACCTTCTTGGCAGCGAACACATATAATGCTACAACATATGTAATGAACGGCTGATTGCCAATAAGCAGTCTCAGGACTGTTTCCTTGAGTGTGGATTTAGAGAACGACTGGATAATAAGTAACAAAAAGATTTCTCTGGGGTCCTTACAGAGGGGGGAGAACAATAAATAGTGAATTCTATCTTCTATCTGGTTGCAGCCAAATATGCATTTGCATATTTGCATTATTAGAATTATTTTGCATCTCCCTTCAAGATATGCAGAGGGCATCTGCTGAAATCTAAGTTCAGTGAACACTCTGAGAAGCTGTAGGAGGAGATGAAGAGAGTGAAGCAGATGTAAGGCCCATTTGTCCCAATGAGGAATGAAAACTGGAAGAAAAAAAAAAGAACAAAAGCACAACTATCTGGGTGCTAATCGGGAACAGTGGGCACCAGAGATTGGCTGGGAGGTTTACACTCTGCGTGTGTGCCAGCAGAGCCTGGCAAGGAGAGCACTTGGAAGCTCACCTATCATCTGCTATTCTGTGCTGCCTGTTCAGGATCCTCGAGCATTTGACAAATGGACTGCTAAAAACCCTTGCCTGTGCATATTCCCTGCTGCGAAGATGGCTGATCTATCTGGACCAAACAAACAGCTTGACCCCATGGACAATAGTTCTCACCTATGTTGTGAATAAGGACTGACATAAGATGACACAGTCTCTGCACTTAACTCCCTGACACATCACAAGACTATCCCCAGCCAGACCATTCCTGCCAGAGCTGAAAGGTCAGGAGCCCACTCGTGTTTCCCTCTAGCTCAGCTTTTAGCATCCCGGTGTGTGTATGAGTGTCTATATACCCATTTTTGCTCCTGGCTTGACCTGCCATCACTGGCTTTACCCAACAGTGACTGCTGTGCCACCACCAAAGAGCAGTAGGCATGAGCAGACAATTTGCCAGTGAACGTATCAGACCTCCTACTAAGAATCTGACAAGTATTCAGAAAAATTCTCCTTCTCAGCAATTTTCCAGGTCTTGCCATAACAAGACTCCCAACAAGATTTTCCTTTGCATCACTAAGGTTTCTTGGCTTTCCAGGTAAATGAGACCCAAGCATTGTTTTCCCCAATGTTTATTTCTTTTTTCTTTGTTGTCCCGCCCAGGCAGTCTGTACTGACATCATTTCTGTGCAGGAAAGGTGCTGTTCTGCATAAGAACTCCAGTAATCTTGTGCAGCTTGGCATTCTTTCCAGAAAAAAGGACCACAAAACTTCAGGTCCATTCTATAAGATTTCCTGTGGAACGGAAGGAACAGGGGAAATATAAATACAGTAGAGTGTGGTTCTAAACCTTTGAGGATTAAATTCACAACAATATTCTCCAAATTCACTGCAAAAGAGTGCAGTATGGAGATTCTTGCTGTCTGCCCTTTGGGGCAAGCCTTTATTTAGCAGGCATTGTCTTGACCAGATGGAATGTAGGCTGCCATGAAAAGCCAGCAGTGGCCCAGGGGGAAGTCCATGGAGGCCTGACGTCCCCTTCAGAATCAGAGGTTCTGAGAGAAGTTCTGGTATTACAATTGAATCCAAATGAAAAGACATCTGGCAGAAGAAGGAAATCCTAGGTACTATAGTTGGACGGTTAAGTCTTAGAACAATGTAGGTAAGGGAAGTCAGCAAATTGAAGACAGCTCCAGCTTGCCAACTTCAATAAAGGTTGGTTTTTCACTTAAAATCCAGCTTGCTGACCTTCATTAGATGCAGAAGTTCTAATGGATCAATGTCCAATATCATGTTTAAAATGTAATGGTTAACAGTGTTTACTCTGCAGTGTTGCAGACACTTTTCTGATTAATTCTGAGAACAAAAAGAGCCTTGACAGGGGCTGGACTTGATGAGCCATACAGTAAGGTCCCTTGTAGCTCTGCAGTTCTAGGATTATAAATGTATGAATTTCTGCTATAAACTGTGAAACTGAGTTGCCAAATAGGCAGTGTCTCATTCTATGAGATTTCACACCCAAAACCGAGACTTAGAGAATGAACCCCAAACTTAGAGCCGTAACATGACACTTGGCAGTTCTGCTCACATTACTGTTCAGTGACTTGTTGATCCACAGATCTAAAGTCAGGTTTATTAGTCCATCCTCTGAAGATTAACAGCACAGCAACTTCAAAGCAATAGTTTAAGTAAAGTTTATTAAGATAGAGCAAAAAAGAAAGAAGCATATTTACCACAGTAGAATATGTCAGAGTTTAGAGTAAGCAAACCTTACATTGCAGCAGACTATTAACAGTGACTTTTTTGAGCTGGGAGGAAATCCACCCAACATGGCTGACTTCCTTATATATTCTCTTCTCTTTGAATTTATCACCACATTTGTTTATTGCAAAATTCAGAATTTCAGTGCTTAAGCTCTCGTACTTGTGTTTATCCTCTCCTGGAAAATCACATTTGACAATGACCCTGATGTACAAATGATTTCTTTCTTCTAGTGACTTCTAAATATCCTTCACTGATGGCTAATAAGATCTTTCATTCTTGCTTTATGAGCTTCTGTTTAAACGACAGCATTTAATTCACCCATTTCCCCTCTCTGTTTGACTATACCGAGCTCTAAAATTGTTCAGCCAGGCCTTGGATTCAAATCCTTTTCTTGAGTTATTCCTAGATGTTTTTATTTCCTTGTTGACCAACTTGTACCTTTTTTTAAAAGCCTCTTTTGATTACATGCATAGCTGCACAGGTGTGTGTGTGTGTGTGTGTGTGTGTGTATACACACCTCCACAATGCATGGAAATCATGTGGCCCTCCAAGATGATGTTGGATTAGGACTTCTGTGATTCCTTGTCATTGGCTATGCTAGCTCAGGCTGAGGGGAGTTGCAGGCCAGTAGCATCTGGACAGTCAGATGTTCTCTACTTCTGTTTTAAATTGCACCCTATCCACAATCGATGTGACAGTGAAACAGATCTGCATCGGTGTGTTGTTTTGCCTTGATTTTTTTTAAAAAAGCAGACTCACTTTCAGTGCCGAGTTAGCTTATAATGTTTCTAATGCATAACCACATAGAATATGAAGTGGGGATTGGAGGTGCCTTTCCAAATCTCTTTGCAGTAAATACCAAAAAAAATATATAGGAGATTCCCATGAAATGTGAAGCAAGAAAGTGTCTTCTCATGAAAATCATACAGATATGTATGGATGATGCACAGCAGAAACCATTTCCTAGTTTTAGTTTTCTTCATATGCATGTATATTTGTGTTTGATTTTTCAGCATAATTCAAATCCCAGATCATTAAGACCTAAACTATATGCTGCTACTAGCATTGTTACAAAGTTCCTGCTTAACTGCCAGAGATCACTGGGAACGTGCACTCCCAGATTGTGAGGCTAATAGTAAGTATTACAGAACAAAACTCAGGCCACTCCTAACTCAAATTAACCAAATGTTACTATCACACACATTAGCATGAGGATGTGACAGTCAGCATACAGAATACATGCTACTGCATACTGGTGCTTTAGGGTGCTTTCCAGGGCTTGCTCTCTGTGGTAGTTATTGGCATATGATTGTCTCCTCTCAAAAATGCTTGAAAAAGATTTTGGTGTTTCTGATTATCACTCTTATTGAGTCTGACAAGGGTTGTGGGTGGTTCCCGAAGTTCGCTGGGCTCCATATTGATGCCACCAGTGGGTTCTACAAACACAGCGTTGGTCACAGCACTTGGCTGTCTGAAGCCAGAGGGAGTTGGGTAGAGCCCACCTACTGGTTCATTCAGGCTATCACTGGTTGCTGGGGAGGCCTTCTGGATACCTGCTGCTGTGCCCTCTGGCAATGGTAGGTTGCCCTGATTTGTTCCAGTCTGACCAGCTGGAAGAAATCCCTCTTGACCTTCAGAGTGTGTTCCAGCTTGGCCCGCAGGCAGCAAACCACCTTGTGTTCCAGGGAGAAGAACCCCAGCAAAAAGTTGGGAAGGAGGCTGTGAAAGTTGAGAGAAAAGGCACAGAAGAGTTATCAGGAGGTTCTGTGATTTGAGAGAGCCACTTTGGCTATTTTAGAGCAGTGTAGCCTGTGGAATATAAGCAATATAAGCAACCCTGAGGATTCAAAATATGATCTCCCCAGCACCCATGGAGTGACACAGCCCTATACAGTGGTGCCCCACTTGACGATGATAATCCATTCCAGGAAAATCGCTGTTAAGCGAAATTGTTGTCAAGCGGGGAAAAAAACCATTGGAATGCATTGAAATCCAGTTAAAGCATTCCAATGGGGAAAATACCTGCTTGTGCAGCAAAGATCCTCCATAGGGTGGCCATTTTGTGATCCCTGTCTTGCGGAAATAGCTCCGGAAAACAGTGGGAGCCATTTTGCGAAACGCTGATCAGCTGTTTTAATCGTCGTCTTGCGAACAATTGGTTCACGAAACAGGAACCTAATTATCGTAAAGTGAAAAAACCCCATAGGAACCATCATTTTGCAATCTCTATAGCGATCGTGAAAAAACTCATCGTCAAGCGATGTCGTCGTCAAGTGGGGTCGTCGTCAAGTGGGGCACCATATAAACAAATTACACATGAGTGGTTCCAACATGGCCATACATATATTCCCTCTACTAACCATTTAAAAATGGTGAGGCCATGATGGAACACTCCTGAGTAATTTTTTTAATGGTCACTAGAGGGAACCAAGAGGGTTAGTCTCTCTCTCTCTCTCTCTCTTGCTCTCTCACTCTCTCGCTCTCTCGCTCTCGCTCGCTTGCTCTCCCCCCCCCCAAATATTTGGAGGGTGAATGGAGTTTAGGAGAGAGAGCATATGGAGTGTGCCTCCTGTTTCCAGTTTCTCTGCACTCCATGAAGAGGAATATATGCCTTGCTCTTTCTCTGTTGTAAGACTGAAAATCCTCACTGATGTCTTAAATGCTCTCTGCCAATCCAGGTTTCAAAAGTTATGGACCACACATTCGGATATCTTCCTTCATAGTCATGAAGCGATTGCCTCATTTTCACTTGAAGTTTAAGTGGAGGGTCTCCCAGTCTTCTAGCCAACATTTCTATTCCCGCCTTCACTTGCTTGAAACTCATCTTGCCGCTGTTACAGTGGCCTTGGATGCCTTACTGCTCTCAGACACAGAAGAGGCCATGGACCAGGCATGGACAATACTTGGCCAGTAGTTCCCAGCACTCAGCCCTGTCAGCGCTTCCAGACACCTCCCCACCAAAACCAGTCAGGTGTTGATTTTCTTTTAGAAAAGGACTTAGAAAGTCCCATGCCTCCTAGGTGGAATGGGGAATACAGTCTGCCATGTTTAGAGGAGGGCCCCACATTCCCTCCACCCCAAAGATAAAAAGAGACACCTTTTTTTAATTATTAGAGGCTTTTTAGAAGGTTATTCAGGACTAAAAGGTATCATTCTGTAAGAAACAAAATGAAGCAAGGTTGCATGAGGCGGGTATGAGCCTTCATTGTCTGGACTATAGGTTTAGCATGCCACACCATATCTGAAATAAATAAAATAAAATAAATATGGATGGGATGGGAATATATTAGCATTGATTCTGAACAATCACATTATACAATGAAGGTTGAAAGGAAAGAATGACATTTTTACCATTTCTTCAGAACTGAGCACTTGGCCCTAGAGCCCGGCAAGGGAAAAAGCAGGGATGTGGAAAGGAAGGAGAAATAATTAATAAAAGAATGTGAACATTTAAAAATTTCTATAAAGGTGTACAAAGCACCTGCATTAAATAGCATTATTTATATTAGAGGTGTCATGGGGTTAAAAACAATAATGATGACGCCAACATTAATACCATCAACATTACTCAATGATCCATAGAGTCCCATCCAGCTCTGCATTTCTAGGATTAAGTCATTTTTATCATTATCATTATTAGTATTAATGTCATGAGACTAGCGGTGATAATGCCTGCTATTTCAGTGCTGATTGCTTTTCCATTCAGACATTTCACCTATTCACCTTAGAGATGCTTGCAAAGCTCTCTAAGGTTTATTTTCATTTTGTAGTTTAGGGATTGAGACAGAGATGGTGTATTAATTAGGGGTAGTTAAATACGTTTATGGCAGAGACAATAGGCTTCCTGGTTGACAGGTCAGTATATTACCCATATTTATTATGACATCTTGGCTCCTGAATAATCAGCACAGGAGTATCCTATACGTTAGCTTTAACTGTGAGAAAGACACATTGCCATACGTATGTGAGGGTGAAGAAGTTAACCTATATATTCCATCCCCCCCCCAGGCATTTCTTGGAAAAGTTACTTTTTTAGAATAGCATTGCCACACAGCATAGCCATAAGCAGTGGGCTGTGTGAGTGGAGTATACAACCTCAGTTTAACAAAACTAAGCACTTTGTTAGACAAACATTTCTATGGTCTCTCTTTCCTTACCTGAGGCCCCATTTGTGTAAACAGAACTGGAAGCATCTGCAAGGAAAGTAATAAGAGTTGTGTGTAGCTCACTGAAGTAAACGTTTCTCTCTTTTTTTGGATAAGACTGATGGGAAAATTGGCTTTGTATTGCTTTGTATTGTGTATAGTGGCCTCCTTTCGCCAACCAATGCTCATAAGGCTGGGAACTGGCTCCCAGAACCTGCATGATTCCTGCTCCAGTGCAAGTGTGCTGAGTCCCAATCCGGATGAGTTGCAGCATGTGCCAGTGGGGAAGGTTTAAATCTCCCCCACCCTCATCTGTGGATTATCTTAATTTTCACCTTTCCTCTCCACCCTCCTGCATAAGTTTTTTAAAAAATAAAAACTCCTTCTGTGGTGCCAAGGCAGGTCTCCCCTCCCCTTTTTTTTTTCCAATGCCTTCATGGGGAAATCAATTTTCTTTAAAATATAAAAGTTAAAGGGGAGGAGTGGTTTAAATGTTTCCCCAACATATGCATGTACATTGAACTTGATCTGAATATGCATCTGACATTCTGCAAGCTTTTGTCGGAATAGATGAGGTGAGATTCCTTGAACAAGATAATATGTATTTAATGCACTGCATACTTTGCTCTCAGCCTGTAATTTAGCCTGAGGGAGCAGTAGCTGAAACAATGACATCTTGCTTGCCTGCTTGCCCCTCCCCTCATGCACCTCCCCACATCTCTGTGATTTGCCTCTGTTATATTTTATGGTGTACACAACTCTCCTCCTACAAGAAAAGGAAATACCCTTATAAAGTGTCACATATAGGGGTGGTATTTCATAAATGAACAATTAAGCACATGAACGTTGACTCGAGAAGAAACCAGGATGTTAATAATCATTACTACTAACAAGCTGAGATTAATTTATAACAACCCTTTCCAGGGGTTATAGAACAAACAGTACTGGTTTGCCAGTTCCTTCTTCTGTAAGTGCCCCAGGAATGTGCATTTTGCCCAAGGCTACATGTTCTTTGCTTTTAATATCCAGAACAGGCATACGTCTGGATTATTGTAGATCTACAGCCTCCTTTCTTCTATTTTTGATGTTGGAATATAGAGACCAGTCACTGCCGTTGCCAGGTGAGCACTCTCCCATTCCCTGAGAGACTTGGGAGGTCAAAGGGCTGGGCCATTGTGATGTCACAGAAGCATGACAGGTGTGGGACCACCAGGCTTTGTGCCATGGCTGTATAACAAGAAAACATATGAGCAATACTCGTCTTTCACTCCTCACTAGACATGTAAAATTTCTGAAAATTTCCAATTTTTTCCAGGAAAAAAAATACACATTTCTGGGGAAAAATGGAAGTTTTTGGAAAATTTACATCTCTACTCCTCACTTTGCTCAAAATAGCAGAAAGGATGAAAGGTGACATGTTACAAGCTCAAAGAATGGGAAGGGAGGGGAGGGGTTCCAAGGCTTCAAAATAATGATCCCCAAACTTGGGTCCTCATATGTTCTTGGAGCAGCAACAATGGGAAGGGAGGGGAGGGGTTCTAAGGCTTTAAAATAATGACCCCCGTACTTGGATACCCATATGTTCTTGGACTATAACTCCCAGAGTCCGAGAAATCCTGGACAACGCAGCTAGTAGTAAAGGCTTCTGGGAGTTGTAGTCCAAGAACATCTGGGAACCCAACGATAAAAAGAGAGACACTTTTTAGTTATTAGAGGCTGCTAGAAGGTTTTTCAAGAATAAAATATATGATTCTGTAAGAAAAAAAATTGGAAACCACTGCTTTAAAGCTACCTCACACAGAAAAACCTAGCATAGCCCCTTTCCAGAGGTCCTTGGCCTGAAACTTGTCTCTTTTACCTGCAGACTTCAGTTCCCTGAGGCTCCATGTGGTATTCAGAGAACACACACCAACAAGGATTTCCTCAGCAAAATAACATTTTGAAGTTTCTTCCTTCAAAGGACAATGTTTTCTTTCTCTCTAGCCTCAGGGAGGAAAAAGCCAACATATTTTATGGCCCATGAAAGTGCATCTGAGGGACTCTTGGATTCCAGCCATAGAAATGTTCAGAAATACTTACTGGTGGAGCTGGTACAGTCAGTCCGCCACCTGGTAGAGGCAGGGTTTCTGTTCCAGAGAGTGCTGCTAGCAGAGCAACAAGCTGTGTGCAAACCAGGAGAGAGTATGAAATTATTCAGAACAAATAAAAGGACACACTGGGGAAGAAACCTGGTCTAAAGCCAACGGCAAGTCCATATAGTTGGGAAGATGGAAAGATTCTTGCTAGATTTTCTGCTTTGGTACCAGAATAACCTAGCCACTCTGGAAGCAGGTGTCCTTGGCTGCAAACTGTCCGACGATGGCCCTGGTGCTTGACGATCTTACAGTATCTTTCAAGATGGCATCTTACATACCAGTGAAATTCTTGGAATTGTTCACTCCCAAAGATTATCTGCACAGAGGCAGCACAAAACTTGCTGATTTTTAAGAAAGGTATAAACCCATTAAAGGTTTAAGATGGGTAAATGTCCAATTTGCTTTGCTTTATTTTGCACACACATATATACAAATCATGCTCACAAATGCAAGGGAATGGTTTGAGAGCTTAATAACATCTTGGGCAGTCTTCATGAGAAAACTGAAATCTGGTATTATTCCTCCTTCTTGCCTGCAAGGGAAAGACAAGCAAGGATTTACATCCCTAGTTTAAGGTGTGTAGGAGGGGCTATATGAGACACCCTGTGATGTCATCCAAGAGAAAAGTATAGTGATGGGACTGAAGGGAAGTGTTTCCATGGGACAGTCATTGTTGCCCCAAGCATTCACCACTTGAAGCACATATGCTATGAAAAGGTGACCAGAGTTTCCCTAAAGGGACCGTGATGGATGAGGAACAGGAACCAGAAAATGGGGATATGTGGTTCATAGGCTATAATAGCTTAACTTCTAAAAAAGAAATAAAACTGCTATAGCAAAAGCACAAATAACAGAGTCTTCTTTGCTGTTGTGGTAATCATCTTGATCATCATTTTTAGGTATTCGTGCTATGTTTTATTACTATACCATGATCTCTGACTTGTGATAGAAACAAATTGTGACACTCGTCCATCAGCCATTTCTCTATTTTTAGAAACTACCCAGGGAGATTAAACTATTGTGGAATAAGAATAAAATAGATACTAACAATTTTAAGTCAGAAGAGGAATGTATGTATCGTAGTTAATACGAACCAAAACAAAATAAGATAATAATTATTTCATTAATTTCTTTTTTGCTAAGCAAATACTTTGCAGATAAAACAAATATATAAAATATTAAAATATACTGTATACAGTGCTAAGCTTTTTAAAAATTAAAAAATAACTTACAGAATTAATATCTAATGGGAACATCTGGGGCAGTGGTAATACGTTATAGCCAGCAACATTCTGCAATACAAAGAATGGGTGGGGTTTTGTTTACACAATTACTGTAACAGTCTTAGCACAGTCCTATACATACCTTCCCTGTTGTTAAGGCTCCTTTTGGTCAAAATTTCCAATAGCATGAAGTAGCTTAATAAGCAAGCCACTTGAGTATATCGGCAAATTGAACACGTCCTTTGCTCCTCAGTGGAACAGCAGGGGAAGTGAAATTTCATTTAAAACTCTGGTAGACTATCACTAAGGTGCTGCACCACTTAAAAGGGAGGGAAATAATATTTTCTTTGGTTTCTCTTAAAAGACCAGTTGACAGTCTGTGGATCCAGTTGTGAGAAGTTTCTTGACCAGTCCTTTAAGAGAAACTGAGGAAAATACTGTTCTTTTTTCTTTTAAGTGATGCAGTGTTTCAGCAATAGTCTACCACAGTCTAAAGCCACTACACAAGATCAGACGGAGCTGGACCAAATAGGATAGCTTGAACTTCATTATGTCATTTGGATCCAAAGATTGTATTAATAGACATATCACATCTCTGACCCCAAGCGACCCTGTTTAGCCCATACCAGCCTGCTTCAAAACACCTAGTGGAGGTGAGCCCTTATTAGCAGATTTGGACTTACCTGTTCCAGTGGTGTCTGTGCAGGTAAAACTGGAAAATTTGGAAAATTAGGCCATGCAAATGGAACAACCTGCTGAAATAGATGAACAATCACTATACTCTTCAAAATTATCATCTGAAAATCTAATTATACAAAATTAAAGTGCAATGCTATACATGTCTATTAAGAAAAATATCCTATTAAGTTCAACAGGGTTGATTGCTGTTCAAAGGATTACTGCCTGAAGTATCATTACATACAGAATAGCTTACAACTCATCAAAATCTCAATGACTATAATAGCAAAATAAATTTTATCTTCCGTATTGTTTCTTGAAATCAGAGCCATATCAAGAGGAAAAATTCTGACTAGCGTCTAAAACCCCATTCCTGAAAATGTCATTCTTGAAATCATGTATTTGAATAAAGGCATCTAGCACTGGAGAAAAACATACACAAGCACAAAACCATTACTGGAATAACACGGATACACACATATATCCTAAGATTGCAGAACAGACAAGGATTCTCAGGGTCTCTTACTTCTAGTTCCAGTTTTGCAAATAGATTGACCGGGCACACCACTCCTGCTATTGTTGCTATCAGCAGGGCTGGCCCAAACAAAGTGAGGTGACTGCTGTGTACTGCAGATCTTGGATATGTCACAAAAGGGCAGCAAATTATTAATAATTATGAGCACTCTAGCCTGATTCTGTACCTTGACTTGAGGACTACAGGACTTCACTGCTCTGTCTTAGGCAGGAAAAAGTTTAGGGACAGGCCTGGGCCATGGCTGTGTGACATATGGCCACAGACTCAGAAGAATCGCCACCACCCTTGTATCCAGCTCCTACATGAACAATATGGCGGGACAGAGCTGGAATGCTTACTTCGACAAACATAATCTTAATGTTTTAAAATCTTTCCCATTTCCTCAGTCAATTATTATGCACAAATAACAGCAGCCATAAGGAAAGAATTATTTTCACAGACTGCACGCGGTTCCGTTTTCTTGAACTGGACAGGAGATGCAAAGGGAGTGAATCAACAATAGTAGGATTTTCATTTGTAAGGCATTCCTCTAGAATTTCAGGCATGCTATCAGAGTTCCAGCTGCAGCTTCTCTTGTTCTCTACAGCAGACCAGAGGGATTCCATGGGATTCTCAACTCCTAGCTTTCAGCCCACCTACAGTGCCCCATTTAATGGGTTTAGACAACGAACCTTTATTGTGTCATTATCCCATGAGTCAGACTTGCCAGTAATTTGAAGGCTGGCAGCTGGCAGCAAAGACTAATTTCTAGAATAGAGACATGGACTACCATGCTGCATAGCAGTGATACATACAGTGAACTGATTTGTATTTACCTCATTTGGCACCTGGTTTGCTAATGGATGCTGATCTGGAATCAATTTTGCTGGAGGCAGTCCAGTTCCAGGATTTGGTCTCTGCTACCATCAAGAAAGAAACACATAGTAGTAGTAGTAGTAGTAGTAGTAGTAGTAGTAGTAGTAGTAGTAGTAGTAGTAGTAGTA